AAAAAAAAAAAAAAAAAAAAAAAAAAAATTAACCCAAAATTCAATTACACCTCAATATCCACCCCCTTCCCACTATTAATTAATCCCAAAAATCGTCGACGATCCATGTATTTACCTAGGCGGACGGCAAACTTTCATCTCCTCGAAAACGGAATATACACCTAAACGGAGGTATATTTGTGTCCCGTGTTTCAAAATCGTCCGGTAAACAGTCGTGAAAAGTCATAGCCAAGCATGGCCAATTCCACGGAGGCCCCAAGGCTATTCCCCCCTCCCCTCCCCCCACCCCTCTTCGATTCCTGCCTCGCGTATTTGATCCCACGGTCAATCGGTCTCGAGCATTCTCTCCGAGGAGGTGGAGAGGGAAGAGGAGAGGGAATAGGAGAGGGAAGAGGAAAGGGAAAAGAAGGAGAGGGAGGAGGAGGAGAAGGAGGAGAAGGGACGACGCCGCACGCCACATTCTCCCTCTCTAAGCCGGATCGAAGTGGGACATGAGTGGATTCACCGATGCATTAGGCAATGGAATCGTGGCCACGCTTCGGGCGTACGTTTTTGTCGTTCGAGGTATAAATATGAGAAGGCAGTGGAATCGAAACGGTGAGTCTCCCTTCCACGATATTTCGAGGAGAGATTTATTGGCCTGGTTTCCTTTGTGAGCCAGCGTCTCGCGTCCTTGGCGATATTCGCTGGTTAAGAAGATACTCGATACTCGAGGGAAGAGTGTATAGAGCGACTATGGAAATACGTGTACTTGTGTGCGTGTGCGTCTGTGTGGAAATGGCGAGGGCCGTTACTTTGCGTCCCGGCCGCAAAAATAACGGCGGCTTTGAATTTTAATGGCGGGGATGATAAATACCAGGAATTAATTGCGGTATTTAAACTCGAATAGGAGTAGTGTATATGGGATTCGTTTCGATTTAATGGAAGCGTTCAACGCGTCGAATTAATCCAGTGTCGGTGGTTTGAACGAGTTAAATTCTCTATTTCTCGATGTTTGGTAGAGCGTTTTCACACTCGTCGGTGAATATGGGAATGGTTACGGGCGATTGCTTGCAAAATTTGTGGTTTATTGGTATAATTGATCGACGCGCTGTTGACGCGTGAAAAGAATGTACGCAGAAAAGGAGGTGGTAAAAAGCTTGCCATTCCGTCTTATTTTCCGCCTAATATTGTAGCCATATCAGATAAGATAAGATAAGATAAGATGGCGATTAAAGGGACAAATAGGTGAAATTTGTTGTAGTAGATATAGTACCAAGATAAAAATTTGCTTATTATTTTGTAATTATTGGATCAATTAGTTATAGTAAAAATTTAGATAATTGAAGAATATGTATTAAAAGAAAAATATATGAAGAATCTTTACAAAACAGGTTATTGTTACTTTATATACTTTCTTTTTGTCCTTTAATTCAGCATTAATGCAATTCCTACTTCTTCACGTTAATCAAATAAGAGAAATAATCTAATGCATACCAGTGGTAATTTTCTCTTCTTTTTCTAATTTAATTACCGCGGATCTTGAACACTCTTGACACACTTTCAATATACAATTTTCCGCGTTTCGATTCGAATATTACATTATCCATTTGATAAAGTTAAAAATATTAAAATACACTGCCATTGTAATATGCGTAAATTTTTGTGACATATTTCTCGTGTTAAACATATATATATATATAAAATTTCATATTTTGCATTTAAAATA